CTATAAGCCCTATGTAAACTGTAAACCAAATGACTCCTCAAAGGAGTATGGTCAGCTAGGAAGTCTAATTTTCCTAGATACCAACTTTGTGGGGATTGGAAAGCTAATATTAAACAGAGCATCCCAGTTCTTTGCCAGGTCTCCAGACAATGAAATTTCTTTCTTCCAACCAACATTCTCTATTTTATCCTCTACCCTATCACATGCCCAGCCCTGTAGCCTTCATTCTCTGCTAGGGGTTGAATAGGGTCCAGTTCTGCACATGTGTTCCTCTGCCAAAATTCTCAATCAATTACCAAACGTCTAAACACTTTTTTCTTAGGAGACTTAAAGGACAAACAAAAGAATTTCTATACTCATATCTATCATCTTTGGGACCCTCTCAAGCCTATTATCATGGCAGATGTCCCCTCTTGTCAGGTACAGTGGTGACAATGTATGTATCCACATACTTCTCTTAAAGTGGAGTGTGCAAAGTTGAACACAGATTATTGATATAATCTGACCAAGGCAGGATATTTTATGGCTATTATTTTCCATGATCTTGGTACTGCTCTAACTGTATGACCCAAGTCTGTTAGCTTTAGCAGTCACATCACATTATTGGTTCATATTAAGTTAAGAATTAATTTAAACTTGGGTTGCTTTCACAGGGCCTCTAAGACAGTTCTCTTCCATTCTGTAAATTGATAGTTTTAAGTCTAAATGCAGGATTTTTGCATGTATTGCTATTCCATTTCACCCTATTATCTTTGAAATTTTTTTTATGTCACTTATGAGTGTTCACTATCCCTCCTATACTTCTGTCCTGGGAAAAGCTAGTGTGCTTATATACGGTATCTCTGTTTAGGTTTGAGGTTGAAGTGGTAAGTGGGGCAAACAACAGAGACAGAATCGATGAGGGGAGTTTAGAGATAGCAGTTTTCAAGTCAGCTCTTTTGAAATGTTATTTCCCATAACTAGCTTGACAGCAATGGAATAGACTTCTTGGGAAGACATGAGAAGAATTCAAGCAAAAGTCAAATGGTACTCAGCAAAGGAGGCCATAGAAAGAATGTCTGGAAATGCAGGCTTCTGAGTATGCTTTCAAGTCAAAGATGCCAAGATGACATATAATTATAAGTCCAGACTTAAGAGGAAACATCTCTGCATCCTTCAAGCCCATCTCAGTCGGATTCCTATAGAAAAGCTTCCTATGCCATCAAACCCAAGTGATGGCTTCTCTGAGAGAACCACCTACCTCCATTTCATATTTTTTGCTGTTCTTTTCCTGTCTGCTAAGAGCCACAGCCAAGTAATATGATGCATGGCACTTTTGGTTGAAAGGTGACGCCAGCTAGCCATAGAGATGATATGATTATGTTAAGATTTGCATTCATATGGATATTGGACTCCTGCTGTTCACCTTGGCCTGCTAGGGACTCCTGGAGAGTTCCCATTGGTTGGGGAAGTACAGTAGGAGGGAATTCTGGGGGAGGAACTTGTTCTGGGGTCCACCGCGTGTGTGGACCAGTTTCTTCCCGGATGTGTACAGGGTGTTGGCGGCAGTTTCAAAAATAAAGTTTGTTCCTGCTTGAGTGGCTCGTGATTTTGTGCCCAGCCAGACTGCGGCACCTGGCCTCCTTTGTTTTAAGAGTCTCATGCTCTACTGACTGAGTTGGCCAGACACTCCCCACCTTTTTTAAATAGTTGTTGATATAAAGGTCTCCAGCCACTATCACAAGCTCCTGGCACTCAAGAATTATATTTTAGTTATGTTTATTTCTTTTGTGCCCATTAAAATTTCATCTAGCAGATATCAAATACAGGAAGGAAATAAGAGAAGGGGTTAGGCTTTTGAATCCAGGAGATGGACTTAGAGCTTGAGATGTGGGGAGATCTTGATCCCTGTGTAGGCACTCCATGAAGGCAGATAGTCTGCCCATCTGTTCCTGTCCCTCCAAAGCCAGCACCATTGAACACATGATAGATGCTCAGGGAACATTTGTTGAATGGTGCATGAATTGACAATCCCCCTGAGAAGGAATTCTGAGTAGGGCCAAAAGAGGTGTTATGATTTAGATGTGAGGTGTCCCCCAAAAGCTCACATGTGAGACATTAGAAGAAGGTTGAGAGGAGAAATGATTGGGTTTTGAGAGTCTTAATCCAATCAGTGAATTAATCCCGTGGTAAGAATTAACTGAGTGGTAACTGAAGTGTGGGTGTGGCTGGAGGAGGTGGGAGGCATGGCTTTGGGTATATATTTTGTATCTGGCAAGAGCAGATCTCTCTTTCTGCTTTCTTATCATGATGTGAGCTGCTTTCCTCTGCCACACTCTTCTGCCATGGTGTCCTGCCTCACCTTGAGCCCCAAGGAACAGAGCCAGCCACTTATGGACTGAGACCTCTGAAAACATGAACCCTCCAATAAACCTCCTCTATAGTTGTTCTGTTTGGGTTTTTCAGTCACAGCAGCAAAAAAGCTGGCTAAAACAAGAGAGAAGAGAAAACCCAGTGGCAGAACCTGGCATCCTTTTGAGAGTACAAGACATACACAAAGGCCTGAATTGTCCTAAATGTTCTCATTACTAAACCTGACTTAAGACTCCCCCATCTCAGTTCTCTGATCAGTAGTATCTTCCCCCTGTTCACTAAAATCTTCCCCCTCCCACCTTTTAAGTTAAACCTCTGTTCCAGAGTGGGCTTGACAGATTTAGCAAAATAAAATACAGGACACCCAATTAAATTTGAATTCCTGAAAACAACGTCAAGTAATTGTTGTAGGATAAATACATTTAATGAAATCTTTGGGACATGCTGATCCTTGACATTTTGTCATTATGCAAAATTCATATTTATTTCGGTGGCTTGTATTTTATCTGACCCTTCTATCCTGGAAGCACACTCTGCATTTGCTTTCCATATAAAGTACCTCTTCTTCCACTGCGGCTGGGCACATGCCCTGAGTCTCTCTCCCTTGCACACCATTAAATCTGGGGCTTGTGATGATTATTATGGAAGTAACATCAAATGTCAAAGCTCCATTCATTAGCGGTCACACAGGATTTGATAGAACATCTGATGCAATTTAGCACTTATGTTAGAGGGGTAACAGAAAGAAATTTACACGCAAGTCATTGTCGGATCCAGAAGATAGATGTTAGATTCTGCATTTGGATTGACTGGTTTATGTTATATTATGTTATATTATGTTATATTATGTTATATTATATTATATTATATTATATTATATTATATTATATTATATTATATTATATTATATTATATTATATTATATTATATTATAATAATATTTGGATTCTGACTGGATTATATTGTCTCTTTCTCCAGAGGACTTTGATCTCCTTTGTAGTTCTTTCTCTCTCAGATGTCTTAAAATTGCCTGGAAGTCCCCTGGGGATGCAGCGGAAGGCTGGGGGAAGGAAGAAGGGTAGTGGCACTGGTAGAAGGAAAGTAGCTCTTACCCAGGGGCTTTCCAGCAGGCAATTTGTGTGACCTAAATCGTCTGAGTTTGTTTGGCGCCCACCTTGGCATTAGAAGGATAACTCCAAATGCCCTTTTAGAAAGCACCTGAGGCAAGAGAACAAACACAAGTGACTTCCTCATGACCTGCTCATGTGCGGCTCTCTGTTGTTCTAGGCCCCAGAGACACAAAGGAAGAAAAAAAGGAAAGAAAACACAACACACAGAGTGGGTTTTTTTTTCTTCAACCTTTAGGTCTCCTAAACACTTTGATGACACTCACAAATGGCTTAACTTTTGAAAATTGTTTTTGTGCTAAAAAATTGGGATGTTTGATGCCTCAACCCTGAGGCTCTCTCTCCAGCCCAGCCAGGATTCAAAATATCTTTCAGTAAAACCATCTGCTCTTCAAAGCATGCTTCTGTCTCAAAAGGTACAAAACTCAAGACCTAACTTTTCATCCAGACCCTGAATGCACTCTCTTTGGGCTGATTTCACAGAGAAGACAATTAATAAGATATTGCTTATTATTTGGAAATATGTCTGTAGTTGGTCTGAATTGATCTTTTGCCTGGTTCATGATTCTAAAACAGCCTGGTTACACAAACAGGTTTTTAACTTCTCAAGCTTCTGGCGGTAATATTTGCAAAGTCATTCCATTCTATAGCAAAGCAGAAGAGAGATAAATTGTCTATATGGTAACAGAGATGTGCATATAGAATTGAATAAATGCTTTTTCGTTGAAAACTCTGCCACAACTGCCTGAACAACAGTTCCCTGTGAAACTGTTGTTTCAATGAAGACTCAGGGCATGGAAAATGTCCAGAAATTTTACCTGAAGATTAAACCATAAGCACATCTTCTGTGATATCAAGTATTTGAAAACAGGTATCAACCATGAGGCTAAGCCCCCCAAATTTTTATTTATTTGTCGGGGGGATGAAAATATTTTAATGACTTTGAAATAAACTGGCTTAGAAATACTTTCTTCTTGTAACTGCCAAGGTACCTTGACAGATAAACCAAATGTTTTGGTATAAGGAGGGCAGCATGTTAAAACCTAGGCTAAATGGGGTGGTGATGCATACCTGTAATCTCAGCAACTCAGGAGAGCAAGAGGACCTCAAGTTGAAGGCCAGCCTGGGCAACTTAGCAAGACTCTGCCTCAAAATGAAAAATAAAAAAATAAAAAGTCTGGAATGTAGCTCAGTGGTAAAGTACCCTTGGTACTTCAATCCTCAGTATGACCAAATCAAGGAAATAAAAATAATATTTGGGCTGGCATCTTCTCTATTCCTCCAGGCAGCCCACCTGACTTCCCGGCTAAGTCCCCTTTCTGAATAGGCACATTTCAGGGTAAAGTTTCTGCCAGCATTTGTGTCTCAAAGCTTGAAAGCCACTTCACTGTGTTCTGAACAGCGTCAGATCTTATTCTATTTTGAAAATAGATTATCCATGTTTAATATTAATGAGGAAAAATTAAGACATTCTTATTTTAGAGGTACATGTAGCCTTGGATGCAAACAACGTACACTTACGTAGGTTCCCAAAAGTTCCGATGAAAACAACACCGCAGGCAGAGAATAACATGCTGTTTGTAAATGAGTCTGGCTAGATGAAGAATTTCTGCTCAACATCCCATTGGGGCTGGTGGGGGGAGGGGAGGGGATTGTGCGACAAGCTCCAAATCGCTTTTCTGCAGTCTCCAGAGGCAGAACAGTGCACAGATGAGGTTGCCAAAGTTGCCATAGCTTTCAAAGAATAAGCTCAAAATGGACCCTCTGGTGACAGCTCTGTGAAAGAAGAACCATCAGATACACTTCACAATGAAAGTCTCCATTCACATTTTGGGGGCTATGGCCTGTCCCAATTCTGCATAACAATCAGCAATATGTGGGAAGGTCCTTGACATAAAAGCAGTTATGCTTTTGAGCAGTAGCAAGCACCTCAGTGGAGGTGGATCTGTGTGTGCCTGGGAGTGTCATCTAGTTTGCAGAGCACGACTTACTTGGCTGGCACTGTGAGAGATGAACACAGAATACAGATGCAGAGCTGAGGAGTGACTAGGTAGAGCCCTGCTCTGACATCACCCCCAGAAAAGAACATTCTTCATGGCTTTCTGTTACACAACTCAGCTCAAGGGGTATTGATTTTTTTGGTAGTTATACCAAGCAATTCAGGGAACTAAAAATCCAAGTGGCATAAAAATTCCCTTCTGGGTAAGATGTCTTAGTTTGCAAATTGCCAAGAGACAGACTCAAGCAGAACAGAATCTTAGGATGTTGGAGGGGTCTCTGCACCACTTGGCCTCTGTCTCCTAGATGGTGACTCCTGGCAGGCTGGAGAAACGTCCATCTGCCTGCCGAGGCACTGCCCCCTGGCAGGGAGCAGTGTTAGGCAAGATCAACATCTGGGCACAAGCAGCTCTGCGTTTGCTTGTGTGAGATGTGCTGATCTCGCATTCAGCGAGGGGTCTGTTGTAAGTGGAAGAAGATTCCCTCACACTGCCAGTCTGTCTTCGCCAAGACAAATGCTGACTTGTTTGTTCTCTCAGAATGATATCCTGAGTGCTAAAAACTTCAAGATGAAAATGAACTCCCCTTATTCTGGATTCAGTTCAAACATAGCAAGTTGCTCAAACTCTTGGGACCACTACCCTTGCCAACTGAAAATTAAAACCAATTTGGCTAGATAATAAAGAGCCATGAACATAATTCTTTTTTCTTAATTTGCCAGGAATTTGATGCTCCTGCAGGGATGAAAGTGGGCCATTCAGAGTCATTTTAAGGGAAAGTGAATTGAGGCTGAAAGCACATTATTTATTCCATTTTATTTTTTGTTGAAGAATTGCAAAGCTTGATTCAGACCTACAGCAGAAAATAGTCATGGAGCAAGCAAGTGTGTAAGGTGTACTTTCTGCCACCAAAACCATGCACCCATGGTGCTGAATTTCAAAAGCAAACATTTCTGTGGAACTGAATAGATACAGAGATCCTATAAAACAAAGTCAACGTCAGAAATACTTTGAATTGTAAAGTGATTTTTGTTGTTGCATGCTCTTAATAAAGGCCTCACAGTCTTTTTCAAAAAGTTATAATACAGATGATCAATAGAATGCCAAATAATAGATATTTGTGTTAGATAGCAAATGCTTACATTTATTGAATGCTGTTACTGGCCATGTGTATTCTAAGTGTGTTGCATGTATTGGTATATTTGTAATTGCATTTTACAAATAGAGAAACTAAGGATGAGGTCACACACCCAGCAAGTGGTAGAGCCAGAATTTAAATCCATGCAGCTGGGTGCAGTGGCACACACCTATAATTCCAGCAGTTCTGGAGGCTGGGGCAGAAGGATCACGAGTTCAAAGCCAGCCTCAGCAAAAGTGAGGCGCTAAGCAACTCAGTGAGACCCTGTCTCTGATAAAATACACACACAAAAAAGGCTGGGGATGTGACTCAGTGGTTGAGTACACCTGAGTTCAATACCTGGTACCAAAAGACAAAACAAAACATGTAGTCCTTTATCAGGCCTATGCTCTTAACACTACACTTTACTTCTTCTCAGGAATCTTTACTCACGTTTTTTTTTTTTCCTATTATGACAGATGCAATATGATGATATAAGCCTATAAAACCTAGCATTTTGTAATGTTCTCAATTTTTGACAGTCTCTTCTGATTTTTTGGTGAAATACAGTAAGATATTAGCTGGGCACAGTGGAGCACTCCTTAATCTAGTGGCTCGGGAGGCTGAGGCAGGAGGATCACAAGTTCAAAGCCAGTTTCATCAACTTAGTGAGGCCCTAAGCAACTTAGCTAGACCCTGTTTTAAAATATAATGTAAAAAGGACTGGGGATGTGGCTCAATGATTAAGTGCCCTTGGGTTCCATCCCTGGTACCAAAAATAAAAGCAAAATAGTGTCACTTTTATTTTCAACATATAATCTATTGAAGTACTTTTGTTTAAGAATCAAAATCAGTCATTTGAAGTTTTCTCATAATATATAGCTATTGTGACTATTTAATTAAACACTTTTAATTTTTCCTAGACCTCCACTCCAAAGTTAATATAATGACATTAGCCAACATTACTAAAGAAAAACACTGTATTTCTATTTTAAAAATAGAAAATAGAATATAAAATTTCAATATTTAAAAAATGAATTCTGTTTAACATTTTTTTAAAATGAGTACTTTTAGATGAATTTTATTTGGTCATTGCTTGGCCTTTGATTTAATTCTCCTGACTCTTGTGTCATCATTGATAGACATGTGCACAACACTGTTCAACACTGTTCTTGCTCTAATGCAACGCAGATACAGATGTACTTTACATATGCCCTTCATCTACCCTTGCCATCTTGATGGTTAAAAATTTATTCATGGGTAAAATTAAAAACTAAACAGAAGTAGCTATAATCATAACTTGCACAGTCATTTGTAATCACAAATATAAAAGCACATCAGTAACTATCAAAAGAAATCATACCAGAATGAAAAAGGGCAAAGCAGCATCATTATAGACATAACCTTGAATCAGCTCCAATTTCTTTACAAAAAAGAAAACGAATTCCAGAACCAGGATAATTTACAATGATTAACCAATTGGTGGCTATGTATTTCGTAACTTGTTGCATCAGTGTGTCCTGACATTACAGTTAAGAATAGGCAAGCTGGATGAATTTTCCCCCACCCAGTTCAGCTATTAACTCGTTTATTCACTCATTCATTCATTCAGCAAATATTTATTGAACACCTCCATGGGTCAGATTCTGTTTGCCCCAGTAGGCATGCCCATCAGAAACTGAGTTCCCTATGCCCCGTGTCCAGTAAGAGTGCTCAGTGTTTTGAAGGACACCATTTTTATTAAATACTTAGGGTGTTTCTGCCTTCTGGCTTTCAGTTCTCTTTCCTGACAGCTTCTCATCCAAAGGAGTGGCCCTGCTTTCTCTAGAACACAGTGGAAGCTAAAGACCTTTTATCCTTGTCCAAACACCCTCTATGGAGTTCATTTTCCTCCTGAGTAAATTGGAGATTAGTAATTTCAAAATCTCAGTGGTAAAGCACCCGAGGCTGGCACTTTTTGTCACCTGTCTCTGGCTGTTTGTCATCCACATGCCTGAAAGCCCCTATCTCCTCTCATTGTCTGGAGGCAGACAGAGCCAAAATGAGTTGGGATGTGGCAGAGTGAAGGATCGACATTCCTAGTGAGAGACAGACTCCTTAAGCAATGATTCCAGGGCTTTCACTCCAAAAACGAAGATCGGGAAATGGCTCTTCACTTCTGACTCTCTAAAGTAGGGTAGAAAAGTGGAGCCCCTAAAAAAAATGATATCTTACAGTAATTCTTGCATGATTATTATATTCCAATTGCCATAATTAGAAACCTCTTATAACCTACCCCCCCTCATTCATTCTGTGTGTGTGTCTCTCTCCAGCTATGAATTTCAAAACTATGATGGATTTTTCTGCTTGAAAATAACAGTCTTAAGGATAAAAGACCCTTGGGAAATACAAGAACAGGAAATTAACCAACCTCTATAAGGCCATTAGCAGTCAATCAAAGTATATTTATTTGCTTTTTATATAAAAAACTCTTCATTGTTTACATGACTGCATTGAATTTTTATGAAGCTCATAATAGAAACTTACTGACTCACCCACAGAACTTGAATTGATTCAGAAAATGCTGCGAGGAAAATCTCAGCTGGGTATTTTGGACCTTCTTATTGAGGAGAGGGTTTCAAAAGCTCTTTAAAACAAATCCTAAAAACACGTGGTCCATCACTCAAGCAGAGTTTCAGTTCTGTTTGAGTTGGAATGTGTGTGTGGGGGATCCTGTATCTAGGTTTGTGCCCGTAGTTAATCATTTGGTGGCATTTTTTTTTTTATTTCACCTCGAAACAATAGACAACACCACACATCATCGTAACTGCAAAATCCATTTGCCAAACACAGTGGAGCGCGTGAATCACGGGACTGTTGAGAAATGGATTTTTAACTTGCTACTGAAGCACAAAACAAGGCTTGTGTCTGAGCCAGCAGCCTTTTTTGCTTTCTGAGCAGATGTGAAATGTGTTCTCTTCCATTGGTGATGAGCCACAAGAGGTTGGGGGAACTGGTCTGGTTTAATTCAAAGTCACCTGAAGCTTTGTTTGAAGTTCATTAAGGCAATTCAATTCAATTCAACAAACATTTACCGAGCTGCCTCCTGCAAGGAGGGATGTGTGCTAAGGGCTTTGGAAGCCACCATGAGATTTGAGACAGCAGTCACCCCCTCAAACCCAGAGGACCGATGTCTCCAGCAGCAGCACGTATGCCCTTCTTCCTAATCAGCTTTAGTGATCCTCTAAATTTTATTTGGCATAGAAGAACTACCTTGAAAACCAAAGCAAGGCTAAACAGCCTAATTCCTAAAAATTCTGAGATCAACACATTTTAGATTAAAACTGGAAATGAAGAAGTCAATTATTTAATGTACCATTCACTTTGGAAAACTTTTTCTCACACGTCAGTTTTTATAGTTTTTATATAAAAAATAGCTATGTGATTTTTATGCCAGCATTTTCTCTGTCATAATTTACTGAGTTTTTATTAAACTTATTTAGACTAAGTATAATTTTATTTTTTAACTTGAGTTCTAATTTTTAATGAAAACTTTAACTAAAGCTTTAATAGTTATCATCTTATGACACCTAGTAATAGTAACTAGCTTTCATTGACTTACTAGAACCAAGACCTATATGAAGCACTCTAACGGCATCAATCATCTTCAAATCCTCACTCTATCAGATGTGATTATAATTACTGTCCCACTTTTACAGATGATGAGATTAAATAACTTTCCTGAAGTCCACACTGAGGTTTGAACAGTGCCTTGTTTTCTCTCTCCCCAAACCTTTCTTCATCTGTAGTACCCATCTAGAACATTCTCCAGTCTTTCAGCCTTCATATATATTTACTTTACACTCTTGACTCCAGATGGACCAGCCAACAGAGCCATTTCTGGACTTTGTGAATCTCTGGTTCCTGACCTCACTCTGGGGTCTCCAACCTCACTCCAGCCACAGATCATCAATGTCTACATCAGTGGTTCTCAACAAGGGATTGAGACATTTGGCAGCATCTGGAGACATTTTGATATTATTACAACTGGAGGTGGGCAGAGGTGCTAATGGCATCTATCCATGACAGGACAGAGATATGGCTAAACATCTTAACAATGCAAAGGACACCCAATACTTCAGGACCCGCATATCCTAATATACCTTGCCCAGGATAGGTGCTTAATAAATACATCGCTAATACATCACTAATGAGAAGCCAGTCAGCTCTTCAATTCCTCGATTCCTTTGCTGGACGTATTATTGAGTGTCTTCTTGTGGCAGACACCAAGCTGGACACTGGGTATGAAATGTAAGCAATATAGACACACCATCACTTCAAGAAACTTATCGCCAAGATAGGAACAAATGATGAGTGTCAGTGTGTGGGGGCTGGGGGAGGGAGATGTGTGGGGGCTGGGGGGATGGAAAGGCATCCCAGGGGCAAATAACCTGATGGGGGTAGCGTGGGAAGAGAGGCTTCCTGAAGGAAGTGACAAACTGGGACACCAAAATGATGTGGGTGAGTTAAACAAAAAGAAGAGGAAGACGTGTTCTAGGCAGGCAAATAAATAGCACCTAAAAAAAAAAAAAAAAAAAGCCAAAAGATGAGAAAGAAACAGAAGCATGAATCCAGTGCTCAGGCTGTGTGGGGCAAGTTCAAGGAAATGAAGGGCTTCAACGCCATGTACAAGTGTTTGGATTGTATATCAAAGATAACAGGAAGCCACCGAAAGGCTTTAGGCAAAAGTGTGACCAGATCTGATTTTGTTTCTAAAGAATCACTCTCGCCAGGAAAATACAGTCAAATCTACAATGAAATATTATCTCACACCTATTAGGATGGCTGTTACATACATACATACATACATACATACATACATACATACATACATGTAGGTAGGGTGTTGGTGAGGATGTAGAAAAGTTGGAACTTCCATGCACTGATGGTGGGAATGTTAAATGGTGCAGCTGCTGTAGAAAACAGTAAGGAGGTTCCTCAAAAAATTAAAAATAGCATTACCATATGCTCTAGCGATCTCACTTCAGGGTATATATACAGAATTGAAAGCAAGATCTTGAAGAGATATCTGTACCCCCTGTTCACTGCAGCATTATTCACAATAGCTAAAAGGGGGGAAGCAACCTAAATGTCCACTGATGGGCAAATGAATAAAGAAAATGTGGTATACACATACAACGGGATATTATTTGGCTTTAAAAAAGAAGGCAATCCTGCCACATACAACACCACAGACAAACCTGGAGGGCATTATGCTAAATGGAACAAACCAGTCACAGAAGGATAAATACTGCATGGTTCCACCTATAAAAGGTATGTAAAATATCAAACTCATAGGAGCAGAGATTAGAATAATGGTTGCCAGGACCTGGAGAGAGGGGGAAATGGAAGGAGCTGTTCCTTGAGTACAAATGCAAGATGAAAGAGTTCTGGACATCTGCAGTAAAATACAGTATCGATAGCTAGCAGTACTGTATGGTGTACTTAAAATTTTTGTAATGAGAGTAGTTCTCATGTTAAGTATTCATACCACAAAAACGTGAGAGGGAGCATGAGGAAACTTTTAGAGGTGATGGAAATGTCTATTATCTTGATTGTGATGATGGTTTCTTGGGAAGAGCTTATGTCTCAACTCGTCAAATTGTATGCATTAAATGTGTGCAGGTTTTGGTATACCAATTATCTTGTAATAAAGCTGGACTTTGTTGTAAAGAGTCTCGCCTTGAAAGACAAGTCACTTTAGAAGCTGTGCTCAGTGTGGGCTGGGAGGTCGATGGTTGTGGCAATCACAGGGAATTTCTTCAATGCAGCAAAGTGCACCTGCAACTTGATATTAAGATTTGAAATGTGAAAGGGCTGACTAAGTCCTCCACATCCTAATCAAGGAAGGTGATTGCAAAACACAAGAGTTGAAATCTTTTCAACTATATTACACTCAGTCTGAAGGAAGACCACACTAAGACAAGAGCATGTCAGCCTGGGGCTAAAACAGTAGGCACAGAAACTGAACTTTAAGCGGTGTGTCTCACTGTCAGCACCCAGCCTTGTAGGTGTAGCTTAATGGTATAACTTGATGACACCAGCTGTTAATTTCACCCATCCTAATGGACATTCAATAAGTACTTGTATGCAGTGAATTGGATTAAATTGGATTCAATGCTCACTAGGCAACTTTCTGATTTCAATTGGGCCTCCTGTTATTTTTTTCTGTGAGCATAACATAAACTGATTAGCTAACATAAACTTCCTAGTCACATCTATTCACACTTCTATTTTTGCCCTAAATTATTAAGTTGTCATCATGATTGACATATTGATCTCTTGTTTGGTCAGGATGGCTGACACTTGTGGTTGTTTGTCCAGCCTCTGTCTCCTCTACCCACCCCCCACCCCCAATCAGGAAAGCTTTTCACAATCATTGACCTAATACCTCTTGTACTTCTGGGCCAAGGGACCCCACCTCTAGCTCCAGGCAGGCCCTGACTGGCTTAAACCAAATATTACCTTTCACCAAAATGACAGTGACTGGTTCAAATTTTGGCACAGGACCTAACCCAGTCCAATCTGAGTCATTGTCAAGAAACTTGCTTGGAAAACTGGGACTGAGGTGATCTCTATTTCTCAGGATGAAAGGGAAGCAAATTTGCTATTGTGATGGTTCATTTCATGCGTTGATTGACTAAACTATAGTGCTCAGTTGTTTGGTCAAACATCAGTTTAGATGTTGCTGTGGAAGTTTTTGTTTGAAACATGTAATTAATATTTAAAAGAGTAGGCTTTGAGTAAAGCAGATTACCCTGCATAATATGGGTGGATATACTCCAATCAGTTGAAGGCTTTAAGAGAAAGGATTAAGGTTCCCTGAAATTTGCCTGCACATGGCTGCACATTCGCCTTCCTACAAGGCTGCAACATTAACTCTTCCTGGGCCTCTGGTCCATCCTGTAAGTTTCAAAAGACTTGCCAGTCCCTATGATTGTATAAACCAATTTCTTAAAACAAGAGTCTCTCTCCTCTCTCTCTCTCTCTTTTTCTTTCTGTCTCCTATTAGTTTGGTTTCTCTTGAGAACCATGACTAATACAGCTACTATTAAAGAAGTAGAAAACACAACAGACATACAGGAAGAAGAGAGCCAAGATAATTATAGGGGAACACAAACCAAAGCCTGGATTAAACCCAGCCTGAAACCTACATGTACCAATCCAGATGATTTCAGTAACAAGAAAAGAAATGGATGATAATGGATGCCTTGCAAAGTACAAATTCCAGTAGTCAAATGGACTGCAGGTTCAATTGACACAACAGCTCAGTGATGTCATCACGAAGCATGCTCTTTCCTTTACACATAATGCCCTCATACTTACTGGTTAACACTGACAACAATCAGAGATACCCACTTCCTCCTACATATCCAGAGAAAAAGATTGTATTTCCATGGTTCTGTCTCTCTAAAATGAGGATGATTATTACTCTACATGGTATTAATCCAGGTTGACATAGGTTTGCCCATCGCCGAACCAGTCGTTGTCAAGGGGGCAGGCAGAAGGGAGATTTTCATGATTGGCTTAAATGAGTGAAGAGTCTTGCCATTCCCTCAGTCTGCACTGCTGCTACACAGTGGAGGGGAATGGAGTGGACATTAAGCATGCAAAAACAATGTTCACCACAGAGCTCACTGCTGT